ACTTTAAAAAATAGTTTAAGGCCTGGCGCGGTGGCTCATGCCAGTAATCCCAGCACTTTGAGAGGCCGAAGCTGGTACATTATGAGGTCAGGAGTTCAAGACCAGCCTGACCAACATGGTGAAACCCCTGTCTGTCCTAAAAATACAAAAAATAGCCAGGTGTCGTGGCGCGACCCTGTATTCCCAGCTATTTAGGAGGTTGAGGCACGAAAATCCCTTGAACCTGGAAGGCGGAAGCTTCAGTGAGCTGAGATCGTGCCATTGCACTCCAGCCGGGTGACAGAGCAAGACTCGGTCTCAAAAAAAAAAAACAAAAAAAAAAAAAAAAAAAAAGGGAAAAAATAGAATACATATGCCCATCGTTTAAGTTAACACACTTATTGAGCCTTGGGTCAGTACCCCATAATTTCACACAATATTTCTGCAGCAAAATGTATAAGTATTCACACCAAGTTATACATAACCTTATGTCAAGTGCAGTGCAGACTTTATCACCAATGTGGATTTAACAACAAATGTATTAAAATATATATGATTTTTTAGAGCTTTGTGGATTTCAGAACAGTGATTATGGGATTATAATCCTACAGAAGTGAGTTCCTTACACAGTGCTTGGAACAAAATAAGACTATGTTTCCCAAAAAAAGAAAAAAGAAAAGACTATGCTTTCTATTTCCCACCTGACCACAAATTTTTGAACAGTATATGTAATTTTTAAAAATAAGATTGTAATTTTGAAAGAGACAAATTGGCATGGCATTTTATAAAAATGAAAGGAAAGCCTCCATGTAGCATGCTGTGCCCATACCTGTAAATGCAAGAATGTTTAATAATAAACAAACAGAAAAACCTGCCATTACTGTCTTGATTAATATTATTTGCGACTCTAAATATTAAATTTAGCCTACTTGGGAGTAGGGCAGTGTGGAGAAGTCCAGACAGTTCTAAAAGTAAATTCTCTTTACCATATTTGTGAATTACTGAAGCATTCTGATTTTTTTTTGTTGTTTTGAGAAAAGGGTTTAAGTATTAATAAGAAAGGCATTTAATTTCCAGTCTATCTTGTAAAAAGATCTTAATTTGCTAAAAGGTAAAATGTGTATGTATAAAGGCAATAAATTAAAGGTACCTGAAAGGACCAAACTTAGAGCTTAATCAAAGCAATATGAACTCAGAAATAAAGGATAACTTACTTTAACTGTTATTACTTGAATACACAAACATAAGACTTTTAGAAGAATATCTTGATATTGTTTAAGATTTAAAACTGACATCAATAATTCTTTACAGTAGCTTTTTAAAAAAACATTTATTTTATTTTATTTTTTTTTGAGACAGAGTCTCGCTTTGTCACCAGGTGCCAGGCTGGAGTGCAGTGGCTCCATCTCAGCTCACTGTAACCTCCGCCTCCCAGGTTCAAGCAATTCTCCTACCTCAGCCTCCTGAGTAGCTGGGACTACAGGTGCACGCCACCACGCCCAACTAATATTTGTATTTTGGTAGAGACAGGGTTTCACTACGTTGGCCAAGATGGTCTCAATTTCTTGACCTCATGATCCGCCCACCTCAGCCTCCCAAAGTGCTGGGATTACAGGTGTGAGCCACCACACCCAGCCTACAGTAGCTTTTTTTCTTTCAAGAATGTAAACATCTAATTGCAAATCATTTTCCTATCCATTAAAATATAAATACTATTTTGCTAAAATATGGGTAGAGATCACCTAGTCATAAGTAAATTCGTAGAACAGTGCTTTCCAAAAATACATCTTCATTAGAGAAACTACACTTCAGGCCAGGCACGGTGGCTCATGCCTATAATCTCAGCACGTTGGGAGGCCAAGGTGGGAGGGTCACTTGAGGTCAGAAGTTCAAGACCAGCCTGGCCAACATGGTGAAACCTGTCTCTACTAAAAATACAAACATTAGCTGGGCATGCTGGAGTGCACCTGTAATCCCAGCTACTTGGGAGGCTGAGGCAGGAGGATCACTTAAACCTGGGAGGCAGAGGTTGCAGTGAGCCAAGATCATGCCACTGCACTCCAGCCTGGACAACAGAGTGAGACTGTCAAAAAAGAAAGAAAAAAGAAAAACTACAGTTAAAACTAATAATATTAATACTAACAACTTATAGAAAATTAAGGCTTATCTTCATTTTCTTAAAATATTAATCTCAAATGTAAACAAGTCATATTTTCATAAAATATTCATTCCTCATTCATTGCTATTGACCACTATAAATTTTGTTAAAAATGAAATACACTATTACTATTTTAAAATCTTTATTCAATCAGATCCATGCTTATTTACATTATCTTTCATTTAGAATTAAAATATTATGTCAATCTATAGTTTAAATCATACTTTTAGCCCTTTACAAAATATGTGATTAAAGATTTTATAGTTTAAAATGGACCTTGAATAGGGAAAACTGGATTCATTTTTAATGAAAATGAAAAATTATGATACACTAGAACAAAAATGTATACGTACTAAACATACAGTATTAAAACAAGATAAAACGTCTACAATTATTTTCTTTTATTTTCTAAATACTATAAATCATATACTTTTAATAAACAATGAAATAAAACTCTCAATAAATGCCAACTGAAGAGATGGAGAAAAAAATTTTCCTTAACATTCTTTTCACTTACTTCACTGCAAACTTCATGTTTCCTAGGTCAGAAGTTATCCACTTTAGAATATCTTAAGTCACAATATAGATATATTTGGTACATTCCACATGCTAAACTGTACAACTGGCAATTCTCAAAAAAGAAGTAAAAGAAATGTAAGAAATGGTAGACTCAATTTAGCCTCCCAAGAATTGGAAGGACACCTATAGACAGTGCTTAATTGTCTATAAATCACCAACTTTCCCTTCATTTACTCATTTTTTATATTCTTGAAAATGTTATTATTTGCAGATTTTTTCTTTCAAGAATGGAAACATCTAATTGCAAATCATTTTCCTATCCATTAAAATATTATTCTTTTGCTAGCATATGGGTAGAGATGTTTTAATGACAAACAGCAAAGTATACCAATGAATATTCAATAGGTATTCTGCCACCTACTGGAGTTTTTCAAGAAACTGTTTAAGTTCACTTTAAAGTATTGGGAGATCTGAGTGTTTAACATTCAAAATATGATCAGTGTATGAGCTATTTATCTGTAGATAAGAGTAATATATGGTAATATATAGCCAGAAACTTAAATAGCTGTTTGTCATTTTAAAATAAATGCAAAAACACTTTAAAATTTTCAGTGAAATGATCTTATTTATGTTCATAAGGATTCAGAAAAAAGAATGTTTAATATTATAAAATTGAAAGGTTTAGGAGTTTTATTGCAATCTTTTCTCTGCAACTGCAGTTTTTTCTACTAATGGATATTTTAAAGGGACTATTTCATAATTCCAAAATGTCTAGTTTCAAATGCTTCACAGAATTTTGTAACTTACGTTTCGCATACAGTAGTCTCCCCTTATCCATGATTTTGCTTTCTATGGTTTCAGTTACGCATGGTCAACCACACTCTGATTACAGGTGAGTACAGTACAATAAGATATTTTGAGAGAAAGAGACAGATCACATTTGCATAACTTTTATTACAGTGCATTGTTCTACCTTCAGTTATTATCTCTTGCTGTGCCTAATTTATAAATAAAATCTTTTCATAGGTGTGTGTATATATATACACACACCTATGATAAGGTTTTATTGCTTTTATTTTTTTGTATATAGAACCCTCTATATATTGCTTTTTCCCAT